GAGGGCGGGGCGCGGCGCGGGGCAGCCAGGTGCGCGCGGAGTCGGAGCCTTCTCCCGGAAGGCCAGCAGCCTGGGAAGCGTTTTGTTTTGGCGCGGGAGCAGAGCTTTCAACGAATGACCGGCCCCATTGTCCTGAGACGTCAGCAGCGAGGCGGCGTTCCGTGGCGCGCACGCCGCGAGAACTGATGGACTGACTGGGTCGCAGGCGAGGCGTGTGCGGTTCAGGTGAGCTCCGGTCGACGGAGAGCGCCGCGGCTCAGCCCCAAGCTTCCAGCCGTTTACTCGCGACGCAAGCCCTTTAAAAGAATGGACCACCTCGATGAGACCTCTTCCTCCATCACCGTACTGCCGAAGACGGCGGCGGCGTCACCCGCTCCCGACCTGCTGCCCCAGCAGAGCCTCGCCCAGGTAGTTCAGGTCAGCGAAATCCTAGAGCCTCACCTGCAAACACCTGGCCTGACCCAGCTTGTGTGGGATGGGATATGGCTTCTGCAAGGCCAGGAACCTCTTGTTTACAGCCCACACCGCTCAGAGAACTCCCCCAGCTCTCTTGAGACAACTCTCCACAGCAAGGTTAGGGACCAGAAATTTCCACGGGACCGCGTGAATTCATTTGACTTCCATTTCAGTTAAGATGCCCTTTGAGTAGTTTGTTCGTTTTGCATGAGGAGGGGGAGAGTAGGCATCAAGAATAGCCATTACTCCTGCCGAGTGGAGGTGCACCTTGAGGCCGAGTCCGGCCAGGTGCCCACTCCTCTCCTGCCTTCCCTCTGGTCCCACCCACAACTGGCTGGTGTCCTGGAGTCGGCCGCTGACCTGGTTCCTCGAGTGCAGAGCGCAATCACTCAGTAATGAACTGCCTCCCGGAGTGTCCTCAGGTCAGATTACAGAGCGCATTATTGGAAAGCACCTTGTTCGCTCGCAGCTGCTGCACAGTTGTTAGTTCACAGTGCTCCTTCAGATTTACTGGCACCTTTGCCTCCAAATAAGACCGATACGTGCCTGCTCAAACAAATTAAAGTGCTTGTCTCGGATGACACACTTGGCAGGCCCTAGCCACCGGCCATTTAGAGGGCTAACTTCGATATGGAGATACACGTATATCCCTGTACTTACCAGTTCCTACAAGCTGAGAAACCAGAGACCTTCATTTGCATACTTAGTGCTTTAGAGCCAAGCATGTCAGGAACAAGGAGAAATGGGCAGGAGGCATATGCCAAGAAGTCTGCTGGTTGAAACACCTATGTGTTGTGGGAAACACCCCTGGGTTTCTCAGACTCTGCACTGTTAGTCGACATCTTGGGCTCAAGAATTCTTTTTTGAGGGAACTTGTCTCACACATTGTAGGATGTTCAGCAGCACCCCTGGCCTCTATGAACCAGCAAGCCCCTTCCTCTCCCAAAATTTTGACAAGCACAAAATATTGCCAAAGTCAAATTTGTCCTGCGCCCCTGATTTAAATGTTGCCTGTTACCCAGCTTTATAGTAGCAGGCAGGACTGTGGAGCTGGAAGCCACTTGCTGACTGTAGTTTGAGCATCTAGACCTTTCAGCCTGGAAACACACCGGATGCCTGCTTAGGATCCTGGCGGGGTGGAGGGTTGAGGAATCAGGCCCCATGGAGGGTGCTCCTCCAACCAACACAGTGTACATGCTCTACCACAAATTTAAAAGAAGAAAATTTCAGTATACATTCCAGGAACACCACCAGGCCCTGTGTCAAGAAGGGCCACACACCATCTAAGGTGGTGTTCTTTAGCAAGCCAAGGGTCAGAAGTGGACTGTTACATCAACTATGGGTGACTACCAGAAATGTTCAGAATCAATCTAATCAAGTGGGAAAAGAAAATCAGATAAATCTAGATGGACATTCTGCAAAACAACTCTTCCGGTCTTCTCAAAGAAGTCAGTATGGGAAAAACAAAATAGCTAGGGGACCAGCAGATGTGTAATGGTTATATTGCTCAACTCCCTTGTAGTCGACCACAGTTCAGGTCCCAGACCCATGGCTTAAACTTGTGCCAGGAGTGTGTGTGCATGCCCAAGATCCCAAGAGGAGAAGGGATTGTGACATGGCCATCCCCCCTGGGGGGGTGATTTCTCACTTTCTATCTCTTTCAGCAAATACACATCTCCATAGCAAAAATCTCTCTTTAAAAATAAATAAATAAATAAATAAATAAAAACTAAGAAAACACTCCAGATAGTGGAGACCACAACTATGTTCATCTGTGACCTTCAAAACTGGTTTGAAGGAAAAAGCTGTGAAAGAAATAAGAGAAATTATTGGGGGCATTTTTTGTGGACTGCGTATTGAAGAATACCACTGAATCACCATGAAGTCTGTCAGTATGATGATGGTTAATTCTAAGGTTTTTAGAAATAGTTGTTAGGAAATGTGTACTAAGTCATTTAGGGAGCAGTGGTGGCACAGTGGTAAAACACTATGTTCTACAAGACTGATCTATATGGAAAAGTTCTAGGTTCTCATCTGGACACCTTGAGTACACTGGGCATTCACATGCCTGTGATTCAGGGCTGGCTGAAGTTAGGGGTGTATTGAAGCATCAAGACCTGTTGCTATTGGGGCCGGCAAGTGGCGTGGTGGTTAAAGGCGCTGGACTCCCACATGGCCGACCACGATTCAAGTCTCGGACCTGGTGGCTTGCTTTCTCACTTCCTCTCCCTCTCTCTGTCTCTCTCTGATCAAACTGAAAAATAATAATGATATAATAATAAATAAAATAATTCTTAAAAAAAAATGACCTGTTGCTATTCATCTCTGTCTCACTCGCTATGTTGGAAATAAACTTCAAGAATGATAGGGTAGGGATCAGCAGATGGTATAATGGTTATGTCACTGGACATCCACATGGCTGACACACAGTTTGGGTCCTGAACCTGAAGGCTTGAAACTCATGCCAGGCACAAGTGCATGCATGCCCAAAATCCGAGAAGAGAATGGAGGAGTAACAATTGCCACGTGGCCATCTTCCCGTGTGTGGGGGGGTGTGATTTCTCGCTTTCTGTCTATATGCCCTATAGCAAAAATCTCTCTAAAAGAACAAATCAAAAGAATGATAGAATCATTTGAAAACTGACCATCTGGATCCTTTACAAATTAGTAGTTAATATATTTTTGTAAAACCATTCAACCCAACAAAAAGTAGCCAGTATCCACTCTATACCTCAAACACATGGGTAATTCTTTAATTTTTTCTTAATCTCTCAGTGGGTGACCTTGATGGCCTAGTTCCTTGTAAAAGACGATGCTTTTCCCAGTGGCTGCTGAGTCATCCTCAGATTGGTGTGGGGAAGGGGTGTTGTAAATGGCTCTCCCAGGTCACTCCACAGGTTTAGTGCAGAAGTTATTCTTCCAGGGAAAGTAATTGGTTAAAAAAGTAAACCAGGCCAGCCTGTGGCATAGTGAAAGCAGCTGGATCCCACATGACTGGCTACATGGTTCTAGTCACCAGCCCGTACATTGAAAAACACACTGGAACTGGAAGATGGTATAATGGTTACATCACTGGACTCCCATGTAGTTGACTACAGTCTGAGTCCCAGACTCGGCAAGTTAGAACTCATGCTGAGAGTGGCCATCTTCCCTGGGGGGTGATTTGCTTTTTATTTCTCTGGCTAGTCCTGGCACCCTAGAGCAAAAATCTCTTTTAAAAAAAAAGGAAACAAAAAAACACTAGATGTTGTATGCCTGTGTTTGTGTCCGAAGTCCCAAGAGGAGAGTGAAGGAGAAGACTGCAGCATGGCCATCCTCCCCCCCAGGAGTGCTTTCTCACTTTCCCTCTCTGACAAGCACATAAGTATTAGAATTTAAATAAATAAATAAATAAACATGGCCAGACCGGCAGGTGGCATAGTAGTTAAAGACTGGATTCCAGGACCAGCAGTTAGCATATTGGCTATGTTGCTGGACTCTCACGTAGTCGACCGCAGTTCGCATCCCGGACCCGGTGGCTTAAAACTCACGCCGGGCACGTGTGCATGCGTGCACGAGATCCCAAGAGGAGAATGGAGGAGAAGGGATTGCGGCATGACCATCCCCCCTTGGGGGGTGATTTCTCGCTTTCTGTCTCTCTGTCTCTGTCTGGCGAGCGCACACGCCCCATAGTGAAAAAAAAAAAAAAAAACCACGCTGGGCGCGTGTGCTTGTGTGCCCAAGATCCCAAGAGGAGAATGGAGGAGAAG